CTTGAGCCACAGGCGCCGAGCCAACTGCCTGCTTTTTCTACCTTCTCTGACCATACACACGAGTCGTCAGTCCCTACTGCTCAGTTTAAACCTACTGGTGTGGAGACACTCCTCCCTCACTTTCCAGGCTTCACTGAGTTTAACACTGCAGCTTCTCTCTGTCAAGGGCTTTTTCCACTTTGTCCTCATTCCCCATTGCACACTTCGCAAACCTGGGGATTGGGCCACCCCTGTCCTTCACCACAGAGCTTTCATCTCCTGTCCTCACTCCCTTTCAGCATTGTAATCATGTAGACCTGAAAATAGATTGTCCTAGGGAGCCATCCATTGACAGAGATGAATATAAATAATTGCTGGTGCTGATGATGACTAAATATCTCAGTGGGATTAAGCAAAATTGGCTCCAGAGGCCAGTTTCAACTCCTGACAATGTATACTTTCACAAGATCTCACTAAAGGAACTGAAAACAAAGTAGATGCCTTAAGAAATGGCAAAGAGGAAAAATAACTTTTTATTTATTTATTTATTTTAAGAGACAGAGTCTCACTATGTTGCCCTTGGTAGAGTGCCCTGGCATCACAGCTCACAACAACCTCCAACTCTTGGGCTTACGTGATTCTCTTGCCTCAGCCTCCCAAGTAGTTGGGACTACAGGTGCCTGCCACAATACCCGGCTATTTTTTTTTTGTCATTGTTTCAGTTGTTTAGCCATCCCGGGGCCGGGTTCCAATCTGCCACCCTCGGTGTACGTGGCTGACACCGTAACCACTGTGCTACAGATGCCAGGCCCATTCATTTCATTCTTAACTGGACAGCTGCGAAGCCAGAGTGCCTTCTGGGAAAGATCACAGGACATTCTGGAGCCTGCCCCTGTGCAGATCCACTTGCCCCCACACCCTGTTACTGTCAACAGTGATGCATTTTGGCTGACCCTGGGTGAAGATGACTTGGTAAAAATAAGGGAAACCAGCAGTAAGAATAAGGGAAACCAGAAGCTGGCATTCTCTTCATCAACCAGGGAGCGGTTTCAATTAACATAACTCCAAGTCAGATTTCCAAATAAGGCAGCTCCTCTTCCACAGGCTCTTTAGAAGAAAAATGGATTGTGCTGCTACCACCTTCAAAGTGGTAGCCAGTTCAAATCCTGGGGCGTTTGTATGGGACTGAGGAGCCAAAGGAGGCATCCATTCCTCAGATGTACATTAAGAACCTGGCTAGTGCAAGGACTGTGCTGGGCTCAGCAGGGAATCCCAAGATAAGAAAGATACAGCCCCTGCCCTCAGAGAGCACACAGTCCAGAAAGGTGGTAAAAACAAGCCTTGCATATTTTAGAATTGGCATATAGCATAGTCAGGTTCCCTTAAAATTAGAAAATTCTAACTAGATAACTGTAATGAATGATTTGAAATGTGAAAAGTAGGCTTGGTGTCCGTGCTCAGTGGTTATGGTGCCAGCCACATACACTGGGGCTGGTGGGTTCGAGCCCAGCCTGGGCCTGCTAAACAATGACAATTACAACTTTAAAAAAAAGAAAGAAAAAAGAAATGTGAAAAGTAAATTATTCCTAAGCAATCTTGGATTGGCCATCTATTCAAACAATCCATCTACTAAAGTTCTAAAATTGACACATCCAAAAGGTTAAATTTTGATATTTAAAAAGTAATGTTGTAGAACCCATACAATGGAATACTACTTAACAATAAAAAGGAATAAACTATTACATGAAAACTTGCATGGCTCACAAGGGCATTACATGCAGTGAAAAAAGCCCATCTTAACAGTTTACAAACTGTGTATTTCAGTTTATATACCATTTCTGAAAGGATAAAACTATAAAGACAGAGCAGAGATTAGTGACTGCCGCAAGTCAGAGATGAAAGGGAGGGGATCCAATCCTAACAGTATAGTATCAGGGGTTCCTTTGTGGTGGTGAACAGTCTAAAAATGCATGCAGTCCGCAACAGTCTGCGTGCATCTGTGTGTGTGTCTGTGTGTAG